ATAAGCATAACCAATGGACATAAGACACTGGGGGATAGGGGAGGCTAGGGGACTGTCTAGGGCGGGGGGGAAAATGGACACATTTGTAATACCCTTTGTAATACTTTAAGCAATAATAAAAAAAATTGCATTTGAAAAAAAAAAAAAGACTTACTACAAATCTAAAGTAATCAAGATGGTATGGTGTTGGCTGAGGAGAGACAGACCACTAAAAGAGGGGTCAGTCCAGACAAAGACTGTCATAAACAGGTACTGGATTATAACAGGGGAGGCACCCTAGAACACTGGGAAAAGAATGCATTTTTGATAAGTGGTATTGTGACAATTACAGAAATGAAGCTGGACCCCACTTTCACACACTGAACCAAAATTAAAATCAAGACAGATTATAGGCCTAAATGTGAAAGAATAAAAACTAAAGTCTTTAGAGCAATATAAAAGAATATGTTTAAGGTATTGGGGTGGAGGAAGACATTTTTTAAAAGCTTCAAAAATGTGCTAAGGATCAAGGAAAATGTGGATAAATGTAACTACGTGGAAATGAATAGCTCTGGTCACTAATAGGACACCACAAGGAGAGCTGAAATTCAAGCTACAGGGTGAGGGTAGATGGTTACCATACAGAACTGACAAAGGTTTGAAATCTAGAATACACAAAGAATCTGTACAAATCAACAGGAAAAAGACAGACAATCTATCTCCCCACCCCCAACAAAAAATTTAAACAGGCACTTCATAAAAAAGAAAAATAAAGAAATATAGAAGTCCAACAAACAAATGAAAAGGTGTTCAAACTTCTAAGTAAGAAAAACGTAAATTAAAATCACAAAGCGATATTGTTATATATACACAAACACACTGCCAGATTGGCTGAAAATTTTAAAGCTGACATTACCAACTGGCAGATAAATTGTGGGACAACGGTAGGACTGTAAGCTGATGCAACCACTTTGGAAAACTGGAACTGTCACTAAAGTAGGTTAGGGTGCTCATCACACAGTAGTTCTCTCCTGGGTATACAGAAATGCCTACTATGTGCACCTAGACACAAAACTGTTCATAATAGTGAGACAACAACAGTAGATGGAAAAATGTCAGAACACTGTTGTAAAAGAATTAACTCAAACTACATGCAAAACCACAAAGTAACATATCCTACAGGATTTCATATATGTCAAGTTCAGAAACAATAAAACAAAATTATATTATCTGAAGATATATATTTAGGTGCTAAAAGTGAAAGAAAATTAAGGATGTGATGAAGATAGAAGTCAGATGGTGGGTACTGCTGGGCAGGAGGAAGTGATGGTCAGGAATGGGGGGCGGGCAGACTTCTAGGATGACTTGAGTAATGGCTACTACATAGGTACTTGCTTCATAAAAATGCCTTACACTTTACATGTATATTTTATCCAGTATCTCTGTGTCATATTTCACAGTAACAGAAGTTTTACAGAAAATTAAAGAAAGATTAAAGCCCTAGCCAGCTTGGCTCAGTGGATGGAGCATCGGCCTACAGACTGAAGGGTCCAAGGTTTGATTCCGGCCAAGGGCACATGCCTGGGTTGCGGGTTCCATCCCCAGTGTGGGGTGTGCAGGAGGCAGCCAATAAATGATTCTCTCTCATCATTGATGTTTCTATCTCTCTCCTTCTCCCTTCCTCTCTGAAATCAATAAAGAAAAAATTTTTTTTTAAAAAAAAGATTAAAGAAGAAAAAGCATCTGATAATCTCTATCGATGTGAAAGAAGCATTATATAATATTCAGACTTCATTGAGGATTTTTAAAACTCTTAGTAAGTTTTTTCTATAAAATAAATTACATGTACTCTTCACAGATGTCAACTATATCATAAAAGGCAAACAAAGACTGGGAACTATTAGAGATTCAAGGAGACTAAAGAAACATAAAAATTCAATGCAATATGTGATGCTGGATTGGATTTTTGGACCTAAAACCCAAACAAAAAATCTGATATATATCCCAACCAGTGTGGCTCAGTGGTTGAGTGTTGATCTATGAACCAGAAGGTCATGGCTCCATTCCTGGTCAGGGCACATGCCTGGCTCAATCCCCAATAGTGGGTATTCAGGAGGCAGTTGGTCAATGATTCCCTCTCATCATTGATGTTTCTATCACTCACCTCCCTTCCTCTCTGAAATCAATAAAAAAATATTTTTTAAATCTGATATAAAGGACACTATTAGGACAACTGGAAAATTTTGATTGAAATCTTTATATTAGACAATAGTATTGGGTCAAAGTTAAATTTCCTCATTTTTATCATTGTACTGTGATTATACAAGTGAACGGTGAATGTCCTTGTTCTCAGGAAAATGCACAATGAAGTATTTAGAGGAAAGGCAACATGGTATCTACAACTTACTCTAAAAAAAAGAAGTAAAACTATAGAGAGAATGAAAAATCAAATGTGGCAAAATGTTAACAATTGATGAATCTGAGTAAAAGATATACCATAATTGTTTCTATTCTTGAAACTTTTCTGTGTGAAATTATATCTAAAAGTCTAAAAATAATCTCTTAGCCCTGGCCAATGTGGCTCAGTTGGCTGGAGCGTTGTCCCATGCACAGAAAGGTCACGGGTTTGATTCCCAGTCAGGGCACATGCCTGGTTGGTGGGTTCGATCCCCAGTCCAGGGGCGTGTAGAACAAGGGGGGAGGACTTACTCTACCTGACACCTTTAAGACAAAGGTGGCAATGCAGAGCTCAGATAACAGATAGCATTTTCAATAAATGGCACTGGGTCCACTGGATACCACATGAACGGAAATGAAACTGGACTGCTACCTCACATTATACACAAACACAGAAAGCAATTCCAGGTGGACCATCAATCCGAATGTGGAAGGTAAAACAAATAAAACTTCGAGAAAGCAATATAAGAAAATATCTTGGTGGCCTTGGGGGAGGCAAATGTTTCTTATACATGACATGAAAAGCACTAACCATAAAAGAAAAAATGGATAGATCGTGAACTACATTTAAATTAAGAATTGCTCATCAAAAGACGCCGTTCAGAGTACCATCATTTTCCGATCTGCAAAATTGGGATAATAACTGGACTCATTCAGTAGCAATTGCTGCGAGCCTGTGATGATTTAATAGATGTAAAGACATAGAATATAATTTTTGAAAGTTAGAGTGAATGGAAGGTAAGAAAAGAGACTCTGAGTGGCATCCAGTCTTTACAGATTCAGAATGGTGTCCTCGGGGGAAGGCACGAAGGAAGGTAGCAGGGAGAGGAGTCCAGAACAAGAGACATGCAATGGTCTGTAAGGGGAAGGAAAGGGTGTGTGTAATGGGTGGGAAGGAAGATACAGACAGAGGCATATCTGATGGAGGGAGTGGACAAGAATAGAGACACTCTCTCTGAGACAGGAGGGAAGGATGCTTTCAGATACAGATTGGGGCAGATCGGAAATCGAAAGACATGCCTAAGTTTCTGCTTTCTTTGTGAAACAAGAGTCAAGGTCATCTGCTGAGAGTGGAGGCATAATCTGAGCCTGGAGTAGATTCCAGTCAGCACCACAAGGGGTGACATCAGATGGGGCAGGGCAAGCTGCAGCAAAGTCCCTGAAGCACGGCGCAGTCAATAGGATGAGCCAGCAAGACTCCAAGGGGTGTGTCCCAGTCACCCATGCACTCTCCCTCTCCCGGTACTGCACATGGGAGAGAAGCCCAGTTACAATCCTCATTATCTAAACACCATGAAATTTCACCTACACTCCCTTCCTGACTTATAGTAAAACAATAATGAGAATAATGGAAAAGCCTAATATAAATGAACCCCAGCATCCTGGAGACAGCCCGTAGGCCACCTGATCCATGAGTCCCCACAAAACTGTTACAGAGAAGTGATCACCAGTGTCAGCCTAAACCAGACACAAGGGTGTGAACATGCAAAGGACAGGTGGAGCTTACCGGTCGAAGACATTATCGCTGAAAGCATACTTCTCCAGGCGAGTGAGGGGGGGCAGGTTATCCTGGCCTGGGATGTCCAAGAAGGCTGTCACCCTCATGCTGTCACAGTCTGGGCCATAGTCTTCAAATCCAACTAAAGGAGAAGAGGGGAAAAATACACTCCTAAGTGTGCATGGACGGTGACAAGTCACACCGGGGCAGAGGCATGGTCTTGCAGCCTGCTGTGCACTTCCACAGCCCTCTCCAGCTGAAGTCTCTGAGGACTGCAAAGTTGACCATCATCTAAAACAGCAGTTCTCAACCTGTGGGTCGCGACCCCTTTGGCGGTCGAATAACCCTTTCACAGGGGTCGCCTAAGACCATCTTGCATATCAGATATTTACATTACGACTCATAACAGTAGCAACATTACAGTTATGAAGTAGCAACGAAAATAATTTTATGGTTGGGTCACAACATGAGGAACTGTATTCAAAGGGCCAGAAGGTTGAGAACCACTGATCTAAAACAAAGGGCGGGCTCATCATCCAGGAGAAGGTGATGAGACCAGAGTCATAAAGAAAACAGAATGCCCTTCTAGTGCCATTGGTCCAATGGTCTAGTCACCTCTCCTTGCGGATGGGGCACCCCTCTACTAGGGAACTTAGAAGCAAGTGACCAAAGAAGCTCACCTATGAAAACGGCCATGGAGTTCTGTGCAAACAGGTTTAAAATTGTCAAAAGAAAAACAAGTTTGAGCCCATAAGCAAGAATCTGACAGAAAGCATGCCCATGTCTTGTCTTGTCTTAAAAGTGCCTGTCATACAGCTTCATCCACTCCATAACTCAATGCCCAGGGACCCACACCCCTGGCTTGGCAACACCCAACCGGACCCCCACGTGGATGTCTGCAAACTCCTCTGACTGCCTCTAGCCAACAATGAGCACTAATCACACAGATTCTTCCTCCTCAAGCCTGGGCTTTCCTTCATCCCCAGCTAAGAACAGGCACCTCCTTCCATCCAATGGAGTGGGGTGGCTGAGTCCAGGGGCACTGAATTGGATCGAAACCCCAACTACTACTTACCAGCTGTGTGACCAGAGGAAGTGACTTAACCTCTCCACGCATCCATGTTGTCCTATGGAGGCTGGCTATAAAACCTCACCCTCACCCCATCAGGATGTTGGGAAAATGAGTTCATGTGGGAAAAACAGTTGTGGAAAGGGGCCTTCAGTTATGACAGGAGCGGGAGGAGGGGTAGTCACTCTTGAAAAATCAAAACCACAAGCCTTCCCTGGCTGGTGTTTCTAAGTGGTTAGAGTATCGGTCCACACACCGTAGGGTCATGGATTCAATTCCTGGTCAAGGGCACGGACCTGTGTTTCAGGTTCGCTCTTCATGGGGGGCGTGTGGGAGGCAACCAGTCGATATGTCTCTTCCATTGATGTTTCTCTCTATCTCTCCCTTCCCCCAACTTCCCTTCCACTCTCTCTGAAAAAGCAATGAAAAAAATATCCTCAGGTGAGGATTTAAAACAACAACAAAAAAACAACCCTACAGGCCTGCATGACCTATGACTGTAGAGTCCAGACTTACACCACCTGCAAAGTGCAGGAGCCCCACTGAGCTACTGGGAAGGTCACTGTCCAGATTTACTCCAATGTCAGCATCCTAGCAAGCAAAAAAAAGAAGCTGTTCTAAAGAGACTGTAACAATCCAATAAGCATGAAATTTCATGAAACAATCCCGCTGAAGATAAATAAGCAATAAAAATTTTCAAACTATACATGGTTCCAAACCATGAAGAAGAGGAAGAGTTAGCAGACACAGTAAATGAGAATTTGCACCTCAAGATTACAAATATTAGAAAAACTGGAAATAGATTACCAAATTATTATGTCTAGAATCAGTAGGACCAAAAAATAAGGTATCATAATGTCCTAGCCAGTTTGGCTCAGTGGACAGAGCATCAGCCTGAGGACTGAAGGATCCTGGGTTCAATTCCTGGTCAAGGACATGTACCTCAGCTTGCTCAATCCCCGGCCCTGGTTGGGGTGCATGCAAGAGACAACCAATCCATGTGTCTCTCCCACATCGATGTTTTTCTCTCTCTCTGTCTCTCCTCCTCACCTTCCACTCTCTCTTAAAAGAAAATAAAAATCAATGAAAAAATATCCTTGGGTGAGGATTTAAAAAATAATCTATATAATAAAAGGTTAATATGCAAATTGTCACCTCGGGAGTTTGACCAACCTGGAGTTCGACTGCCGGCAATGACATGCACTGACCATCAGGGGGCAGTGCAAAACAAAGGAAGGCCCTGGCCAGCAGCCGGCAGCCAGGGGAAGGAAGGCCCTGGCTGGCAGCCAGAAGGCCCCAATCAGCCCTGATCACCGGCCAGGCCTGGGGACCCAACTCATACACCAATTTCATGCACTCGCCCTCTAGCATATCTATCTATCTAATCTAATAAAAGACACACATGCAAATTGACCGTAACTTCGCTACACCTTAAGCCACGCCCACCAGCCAATCAGAGCGACTATATGCAAATTAACCCAACCAAGATGGCGGTCGGCAGCCACGGATCTGGTGCGAGCAGGAGGCTTGGTTGCTCCAGTGATGGAGGAAGCCAAGCTT